GGGAATGGCTTTCTTCTGTAGCCGGGGAATCAAAGTGTTTTCCTTTAAAATCGACTGCAGTCGGGCTGGATACCTTTGATCAGCACATCTGGGCCCTGGAGCCCTTGCTCAGTGCCGGGGAAGGGATTGAATTCCAGGCAGGGGGGAGCTGAGGCCAAGGCCCCGGCCCAGCGTCGGTGGATTTGAGGAGCAGCCAGGGAGGCCAGGGCAGCCGGAGCAGAGACGGAAGCGGGGAGACGGGGCTTGGAGATCGTGGGTGAGGGGAAGCTCGGACGGCTCATCGGTGTATTTTCAATCATTCATCACAAATTTATTCACATGCACATTCTTCTGTCAAAGCAAGAGAGGGACCTCGGCCGGCCTGCCACAGGACAGACGGACGCCCCCCCTCCCACAGGGGGCCCACTGGGTCACTTACTTCTGTTGTGGGAGCCACATGCTGTCTTAGAGCTGGGGCGACACTAGCAGCCCCTAATGTGCAGGGTCAGTTCTGAGTCCCACTGTCCCCAGACCCTGTCTGTTACACCCATGCCCACCTCTGAGAGGCCACACAGTTAGGAAAGTGGCCTCTGAATCTGTGGCTCCCATTCAAGAGTGTATTTCCTTTATTTGGGAAGTTTTTCTTTCGCTTGCTTAGAGATTTTTAAAACTACAGTGTAGAGCGAGGGTAAGAGCGTGGGGTTAGGGACTTTCAGGAACCCAGTGTAAAATCCCATCCCTGTCACCTACCAGCTGTGCCATGCGGGCAAACCTTGTCCCCTCTCTGAGCCTCAGTTTCCTCATCTGCAAAAGGGAGCCAGGCCCAGGAGATGTCAGCTATTTTTAGCATGTACCTTAATGATCCCCAAGAGTATGTGCTGTGCTGGGGACCCCAACCAGGAGTGGCTCAGGGAGGGCGCACAAGTCCTGGGGACAGAGAGGGGGACCCCAAGGCCTGGAGACTGAGGGCAGGGTGGGAAGAGAGACCTTCCAAGCGGTGGGAATAGATGGGGACAGATCCTCTAGGCCAGCGACTTTCAGGGTTTTTTAAACAGTGGCCCGATGCATGTTTTAATGTGAACCCGTCTGATCAAGTTGTACGGATACAACCGAACCCAGAAGGTCACAGAGTCCTCCGGGACTTGCTTGATGTTCATGTTTTTTAATTGCTTCTCGTGACCCTGTAACCTGATTTCAGAATCCTTCCTGGGTCTCATCCAGCGGGGATGCCCTGCCGGTGCTGGCGGCACAGGGGAAGGATGAGTGCAGGCATCTCAAGGGGCAGGAGGGTCAGGGGGAGATGGGACTGGGTCGGAGCCCACAGAGGCAGCCCGGGCTGGGCAGGAGGGGGCTGGACAGGGCCTGGGGGAGAGAGGGGATGCGGTGCTGGCGTCCAGGTCCTGATCGTGGGTGAGCACAGGAAGCTGCTGGGATGCACACCCACACACCACGGCCAAGTTCCCTCTGGGCCAGGGACTCAGCACGGGTCTCAGAGGGGGGGGGGCATCTACCAGCAGGTGCCTCCACCCAGCCGCCAGACAGCAGTGCAGGCAGCCAGAGTCACAAGAAGAACCGGAAAAGGAAGGAACCGGGCGCCTGTGGGTGGCAGGCACAGCCTTTCCCAACAAGAGGGACAGAGCCGGCGGGGGGGGAAGAAGCAGGAGGAGGCTAGGCTCGTCTATCTCAGGGTCCTGCACCCACCCCAGGGTCCGGTCGGGATAGGGCCTGACGGTGGACGAGCCTGGGTCAGGGACCGACTGCCGTGGCTCCTGTGGACCCTGGGCTGTGGTCCTGTCTCTCAGACAAGCAGATGGGCAGGGCTGGCGTCTCTGACTTTCCTGTCCCACGGGGAAAAGCAGCCTGGCACACTGCTTTTCTGGCTGCCCTGAGCCCCACCACCGCCCTGTGAGTGTGGCATTGGCCTTGTTGCTGCACGTGGTGTGGGGAAACGGTGATGTTCAGAGCAGTAAAGACACCCGTGAAGGCTGCACAGCCAGTAAGTGGAACAGCCAGCATCCAAGTCTGGACCTGCAGTCTCAGGGACCTGGGTTTTCCCCACCCACCTCCATTTCTGGCCAAGCCCAGGCTTCTTGCAGTCCCTGGAGGTGCAGAGGATGGAGGGGTACAGGGGTGGTATCCTGGGATCTTCCATGAGGTGGGGTGGTCTGTCCAGCCCGGCTGGGGTGTCTGTGCTTGCAGTTGTGTGGGAGAGGAGAGGGGCAAGGGAGGACTTGGGGACCGAACAGGACACGGCCCGAGCTTGGGCAATTTGGGGCCTCCAAATCCTTTAAGCTTCTGATCTCTGGCTGCTTCCCTGTCGCCCCCTCTCCTACTTCCCAGGGCCCTGTCATCAAGGTGCCCGCCCCGTCTCCTGGCGCCCCTCCAGCTCCACGTCAGTCAGGAGCCGCTGTGACCTGACTGGTGCCCTCCTTGTGTGTTTGCGGAAGCCACTGGGAAGGATTCGTGGACTTAGAACTAAATTGCTATGAACCTTAACTGGGGCTGCAGCCCATAGCCTACACCCAGGATAGAGCTTTTGGGGGGCACAGAAGAAAGAGTGGGAGCTGAGCAGCTGCTTTGGTCCAGGCTCTGGGATGCTGACTCCCCAGCAAAGGAGGTGACCTGCCCATCCCGGGCACCACCCATCCTTCCTGAGTGTCCTCCACTGCCCCTGAGTGTCCTCCACTGCCATTGTCCCCAGACGGGCCGGCGTTCCTGACGGAGTGCGGCAGACGCTGCCTCCTCTGCTATCTTTGGAGACAGCCGTGTCATCCGAGGGTGGAGGCTCTGGCTCCAGAGCCTCTGACCCCCAGGTCCTGCTGAGCCAGGGGCTGCATTTCATGACCCTAACTTTCTGACATCCAAACACCAAATCCCACTGGGGATGTAGCTCAGTGACGCAGGTGCCTGCTGGGAAGTGCGAGGTCCTGAGTTTGATTCCCGGTACCCAAAAATAAATAAATAAATAAATAAATAAACAAATCCCAGAAAGCTATGGAATAATGGAAGTCTATTTTTATAGAGTTCCCCAGAATGGTAAAGATCAGTTTAACTGCACTAGCAGATTCCATAATTTTCTTTCTTCCTTTTTTCCTCCCCATCATTTCTAGAAGGATACCTCAGATGGGGCATTTTCAGGACAATTGGATAAATGTCTTCCTGCCTGGACAAACAGGAAGGTGGAACTCTGACTGCGAGTCCACCCGGAGTGGCTGCTCTGATACACGGGGAGCAGCAGGGAGGTCCTGGGGAGCAGAGGTCTCCATCAGCTCCCTGGCAGGGACACTTTCCTGGTGACGTTGGTCAGGCTCCACGCAGCCGAGCCAGGCTCCTGGCAGCCCCGCTGATGGAGGATGCGGATGCAAGGCGATGAGCAGCTCCTGAACCAAGTCTGAGGGGTGCAGGCGTTGGCCCTGTGAGGAGATGGGGGCCCCAGGTAGCAGGCTGCAGGTAGCTCAAGGTGGAGGGGCCCAGGTAGAGCACAGAGCTTCTTGTCCTTCCAGCCCAACTGGGACCCTGTGAGAGCAGGAAACAACCCTCCCCCCGCCCCCGTCCTGGGGCCCCTACCCTCCTTACTAGCTCTCTCACCGCCTCTGCCCTGTATCGGGCTCCTCGCTTTATGACAAAGACACGACATTACTGCAAAGCCACACTCACCCCACAACGCAGTCCAGACACAAAGGACCCTGCGATCTTCCCTCCTCCCCTCACTCCCTGGGGAGCCAGGACAAGGGCTCCTCACCCAGGAGGCCTGGATGCCAGCTCAGGGGCCGTTCCCAAAGTGAGTGTTGTCATACTAATTACAACAAAGCCAGCCCGATGTGACAGTTGTTCCACCTGGCAGGTTTTTGGACTTTGGAGTCTTCCGATCTTTGCATGGGGAGCGGAGATGTCTCGTTAGTGGCTCATCGTGAAGCCAGAAATCTCAGTCTACCCAGAGCTGCGCAGTATTAACCAGCGTGGAAGGCCAGTTCCATCCCTGCCCCCGGGTCCCCAGAAGGCCTGGCCTCCCCTGGGGCCCCTTCTCGGAGAATCTGGCTCAGAGCTGAGCTGCGGGGACTGAGAAAAGACCAGCCTGGCCTCATGCCAGTCCACACCCTGGGCAGGAGGCCCATGCCTCGCTTTCTCCAGCAAAATAAATCTTGAGGCTCCCTCTGAGCATCGCAAACGCGCGCTCTTCTCCCGATTAACACATGGCCCGCATGTTCTTAGCTGCCTGCTGCCGACCTCAATTTAAAACTGTCTTTTGCTTGGCTCAGCCGCTGAGGAAGGACAGGCCTGGGAGGCAGCGACCAAGGAAGCCCAGGGGCTGCTGCAGCCCAGGTCAGGTGAGGTGGCTGCTGACCCCAGCCCCTGGCCCTGTCTGAGCAGTATCCCAGGAGCCTGTGGGAGCTGCCAGGGGCCCAGCCAGCCTGGGCTGCTGCTTTGGCGATTTCCAAACTGCGTCCTCGGGGTGCAAGGTGCTTCTGATGTGTCGGGGCAGGGGTGGGGTGTTCACTGAGGAACTGGCTTTGCCATGGGAACTGAGGTCCATGGCTGCAGCCCACATGGGCCCCCAGGGAATTGCTTGTGTGCTGCACAGACTGGACAAACCCTCTGAGTTCCGATTCCGGGAAAGATTTGTCGCCATGCTCCAGCCCCAGGAGAGAGCTGGGGAGACCTGCCTCTTTACTTTGTTCTCCTGCCTCTGTCTTCTCCTTCTGCCTTAGGGAAGCAAGAGCTGGGAGCTCAGGGTCCCCTCTCTCCCCGCCTGGGGTGGGGTTGCAGCTCCATCCTGCTCGTGCCGAGGGCTGGCGGGGTCGGGAGCTGGTGGCCTGGTCTCTCTGGCGCTTGCCTGGACTCTTCTTCTGGACAAGCTCGCAGTTGCCTGGCTTCCGGGTGCCCCGGGAGGGCAGAGTCGTGTGTGGAGGGTGCCTGGGCCGAGCCCTGAGCACAGAGAGGCCGCGGTCCTCACAGGTCGGCAGGTGGGGGTGAGGCGGCCTCTGGTGACCTGTCCCTCTCTCCCGTTGCCTCTCGTGCAGGAGGGCAGTCAGTGACCCACAGCGGTTTCCCCATCATGGTCTCCCTGGCCAACACGGCCGCCTCCTTCGGCTGCAGGATCACCTACCAGTATACCCCAGCGTTCAAGGTCTTCACCGTCAGCTACTTCCACATAGATCTCCAGGGCCAGAAGAGCCCGGAGACGCAGATAGCCTGCCCCCCAGGCCCGGGGAAGGAGAACGACACCTACACCTTGGTCTGCTCGGTCAGTCTCAAGCTGCCGGACGCGTCGGCCACTGGCACCTACTACTGCTGTGTCAGGTGGCCAAGCACCACAGTGAGGAGCAGTGGTATCTTCGTCCTGGTCAGAGGTGAGAGCTCCCCGGGCGCTTCGAGGACGCAGGACCGCAGCTGCAGTGAGTGGGTGCAGGATCTGACGTGCACGCCCGCTGACCCTGGGGGACACAGCACCCTGGGGCACTCCCACCGGCATAGCCTGGGATGTGGATGTACTACTTGATACCCCTGGCCTAGAGGTCACTTGGCCCCTTGACCTGGGGGTCCCATTGGCACAGTGGGGGAGGGGACTGGAGCTTCTATAGAATCAGTGTGTGGTTGTGTGTGTGTGTGTGTGTGTGTGTGTGTGTGTACGCATGAACCCTTGGCTTATGATGTCTTTCTGGAAATAAATTCTTAGTCATCATCACTTTCTCAGACGTAGGGGACCACGAGATTTAAGAACAAGGCCCACTCCAGAGCCATGATTCTCTGACCCGCCTCTCTGATTCCTCCTGGAAGGGGCTGGGGGCTCTGGAATCACATAGACCTAGGTTGGAATCCCGTCCTGGTGTTTGCCCAGTATGACCTTGGGCCTGGTATTTCTGGCCATACTCGGCCTGCCAAGGACTCAGGAGGATGCGTCGCGCCTGCCTGTGAGGGTGGCAGCAGGCTACTGGAGGTGCCAGGTGAACAAGGCTGGTGTGCCCGCCAGTTGGTCTGCACTCCATGAGTTGATTTTTTGGTTTTGTTTTTCTTTTGTGGCACTGGGGCTTGAACCCCGGGATTTCACACTGAGCTATCTCCCCAGCCCCCTTTTATTTTTTGAGATAGGGTCTCGCGGAATTGCTAAGTTGCCCAGTCTGGGTCCTAACTTGTGATCTTCCTGTCTTGGCCTCCCAGAGTGTTGGGATCACAGGCATGCGACACAAGGCACAACCCCCAGCTCCCTAAACTCCTGCCAGTGGGATGGAGGGAGGAAGGGAAGGAAAGATGGGTGGATGAAGCGTTCAGGAAAAGAAGAGGCTATGTGCTCGTCTACCCATGGTGCAAGCTGCTATCAGTCCGGTACAAACCTGTCACTTTCTACCGTCACCACACTTCCCCATGTTAGCTCCATTTTGAATGGAGGGAGGGGAAGGCCCCAAAGATCACGTGACTCACTCAGGGTCCTCCAGGCAGCCCTAAGTGAGGCCCGCAGAAGCAGTCATAGTCCTTGTCCTTGTCTTTGTCTTTCCCCTGGACAAGCTTGCTCTTCTTCGAGAGATTCAAGCCAGTCAGCAACAATTAGGAGGCTTAGCAAAGTCAGTGGAAGAACAAGGTCCTGAGCTGGGTGTGGTGGTGAATACCTATAACTCCAGCTACTTGGGAGGCTGAGGCAGGAGGATCACAAGCTTGAGTCCTGCCTGGGTGACTTAGCAAGACCTTGTCTCAGAATAAAATATACAAAGGTTGGGGACATAGCTTGGGTGTGGAGCACTGTGGGTTCCATCCCTGGTGGGGGGTACTGAGGACCTGAGGTGGGGCTGGGGGCATCTAGCAGGCACAGAGCCTTGTGGGAGTTGGCAATGGGGTCCCGGGAGAAGGATAACACAGGGCTTTGGGGTCTGGGGGTCAGGGCGGCCAGGCAGGTCCCAGCTTCTCTTGGGAGCTAAGCTCTGCTTTCCTATCTCCTCCTCTAGACATGGGGTACCAGCGCCCTCCGCCAAGCTCCCGGAAGCCCCTGCTGTGTGGCTTCACTGCCCTCCTGGCTGTGCTAAGCGTGCTGGGCACGGCTCTGCTGCTCTGGAAGAAGGTACGGGATGGTCACGCACGGCAGGGACATGGCCTTCACCAGAACCAAGCCTGCGGAGGCCTCACAGGGCAGGGGCTGTCTGTCTGCCCACGTCCTGGACCCTGCAGTAGGTGTTCCTCCCTGGCCCAGCCCCTCCTACCCTATGCCTGCCCCATGTGGTGGGACCTGACCTACCAGGTCCTTTTCTATCTCCCCCAGTATTGGGGATTGAAGCAGGCCCCCTGCACTGAGCTACAGCCCGAGGCTTTTTTATTTTTTATTTTGACACAGGGTCTCACCCAGATTGGACTCAAACTTGCCATCCTCCTGCCTCAGCCTTCTAGAATGCTGGGATTACAGGTGTGCACCACCACACCCAACTGCCTTCCTATCTTTTGTTAGAAATGAGAGCTCCACTACGTCACGAGTCCCTCTGGGAATCTGAGGCAGGATGCAGGCCCTTGTGCTTACCATTTTTTGAGCCCAGCAACCAGGAAAGGAAGAACAGACCTGAGACACAGCATGCCCGGCACCCTCCAACCCACTCTCACTTACTCCCCTCTGTAGCTCTGCACGGAGCTCCCTGCCATCTCCAAGCTCTGGAAAGCAAGGCTCAGAGAGGCTGTGACTTAGCTGAGGCCACACAGCAAGCAGTGGAGTCAGGGTTGGAGTACAGGTGGAGGGGCAGGTTGCTCCAGCTCCCTCTCTGGCTGGCTCTGGCTCGTTCTGTGGCTGGCACCTTCCAGGGCAGAGGTGTTGCTGCCTGGAGCTCTCTGCATTCTCATTGCCGTCCAGACCCTGTGGTTTTCCTGTTTCGTGCCTGTCTCTGCTTGTTCCCTTCTGAGGACCCAGCTCTCGCACAGGGCCCTGCACATAGCGGGCCCTCAGTCAGTACTTGCAGAGCCCTTTCACAGTCATTATTAAAGCAATGCATTCATTCCCTGAGTTAGCTGAGCACCCACCAGGTCCTTTTCTATATGCCAGGCCCAGTACTAGAGGCCAGAAGCCCAGAGATCACATAGCAGACAAAAGCCACAGTCCAGGGGGACGGCTGCCTGGTAACCAGGGTGACAAGTTATCTGTGAAAGGAAGCAGACAGACCGTGGAGCATTAAGAGTGCAGCCTCAGGGCCTGTGTCCCCTCCCCACGGTGCCACTTGCCAGTACTGTGAGCTCCCACAGGACGCCTAACTGGTCCCTGCCTCAGTTTCCCCAGTGGGGTGCCAAGCACAGGAGTTGCATTATGGGGTTGTGGGAGGAGTGCAGCTTCCAAGCACTTGAAGTACCAGGCCATGGCACCTCCAGGGGCTGCCGTGACTCCTGCTGTGGGAGCAGCTGTGAGGGCCCCGCCCTACTTAAGGGGTTGAGGCGGTCCTGGCACACACTGGGCTCCGTCCCCAGAGCTCTTCTCTGCTTCTGGGGCAACTCCTAGGGTGACTGAGCTGTGCAGGGGGCTGCACCCCCATGGATGTGGCCCAGACCCCTGGCTCCGGCTGGCTACGCAGGGCCAGAGGGCGCCACCCTCTAACATGTCCAGGACAGCACTCTGGGCCCCCAAGTCTCTGCATCTCGGCAAATGGCCCCAGATGCCAAGCGCCCTAGCCTCAAGCTATGGAGCTTGTTTTTTTTTTTTTCGGTACTGGGATTCGAACTCATGACCTTGCGCTTGCCAGGCAGGCACTTTACCGCTGAGCTAAATCCCCAGCCCCAAGCTGTGGAGCTTGGAGCCACTTTCACTGTCCATCCGGCCCTCGGCCAGTCCCTCCCCAGCCCAGCCTGGGCCCCCTCACCAGCTTCCAGGGTCCAGGTCTCTGCCACCCACCTGGGCTCCCACGTATATGCTGTCCCCCTATCAGAGTGCAGCACCTATGCGGCAGGGACTAGCTGTCCCCAGTGCCTGGAGGAGCCCAGCACACAGTGGGGATGCGTGCACGGTGATAGCAAAAAGCTGAGTCAGAGGTGGCCAGGCATGCCATGGGCAAGGAAACCTGCTGATTGCATTTCACAGAGGGGGAAACTGAGGCCCAGCAGGCTTCCTGAGCTGCTGACAGCAGCACCCTGGTGTGGAGCGTTGGGTTGTGGGCCAGGCTTGGTGCCCCTTACCGGTTACCCACTGCCAAGAGAAACAGCAACGGAGCATCGCCACACCTCCCACACCGCAGAAGCGTGGCCCACCTGTTCCCAGGGGAGCTCTGTCCCTGCCCTGCAGCCCCCAGCCCCACAGGAAGGGCTCCTGGTATCCAACCTCCAATCCACCCTTACCTGTCCTCTTCCCTGGTGGCCCCCACTGCCACAGAGGAAAGACACGGTGGCACTTGGTATTTTATGGCCTTACCCCCGGTCCCCCAGAGCAGCTGCTGCCTGTGTGCTCACGCCCTGCAGCCCGGGGGCGTATCTGGCCAGTTGGCTCAGAGGGGAGTGGCACCAGGACCCCAGCTGTCCTGACAGGGCAGTATGGAGGGACCCTGGGGTGGCCACGGCCCCTGACTATAACAGTGTCCTCCAGGTGACACAGGAACGTGGCACTAGATTTGAAGAGCAGCATCTGGGACTGCGCCAAGTGAAGCCATGCCTCCGTTCCACCTTCTGTTAAATGCCCACCTCCCCAGGGTGTTAGGAGAATAAAATGAAAATAAGGACAAGTCCTGGGGGTCTTTGTAAACTGTAAAGTGTGCCCTGGATGCTGGCCCTGCCTCTGTCTGTGAGACCTACACATTGTAACAAAACAGAAGAGCGAGGGCCCCAGGTATTACCTTCCAGCCGGCGTCCTGGGTTCAAATCCCGCCTCTGCTGCTTCCTGGCTGGGCAGCTTCACAAGTCCTCGGTCCTCTCTGAGCCTTTACTTCCTGGTGTGGGGCACCGAGAGGACCCAAGGACTTGCCTGCAGGTTTGCCCAGGAACACAGATAAAGCACAGCCCTGCCTGGCTCCGTGCTCCCAGCAGTCAGATGCTGTGACGGGGGCGCTGGCTTCTGCCTGTGAGTTGAGTAGCTCTTGAGAGCTAATCCCAGAATAAATGGGCTGGGGATTGGCGGGTAGCCAGCGATTTTAATTAGCTCCTGCCCCGAGACGAGGCCATTGTTGCTCCACTGCTGGCAGTGTGGAGCCTGCGATGAGGAGGGACGTCTGGTCCACCTCCCTCGGTGTCTTCAGGTGCTGCCCCGGCCCTGTGCCTTCCCAGCTGGCAGCCACAGCTTCGGCTTCTGTGAGCATGACAGCCACAGGAAGCCACTGTCCCCGCCGTCCGCCGTACTCACGCGGTGCGGGACAGTGTCCCCTCTTCCTGCTGCCTGGCTCACGGAGGAGCCTACAAGGGCGTGTTGGTGACAGACTGCTTCCCAGGTGCCATGGAAGTACCAGGCACCTACTGCCTGGCCCCTGTGGGTGGAGACACTGAGGCAGGGGAAAGTGGTGACTCCAGGCCAGAGCCAGCGAGGGCTAGAGGGGACCAGAGCCTGGCGCAGGCCCCGGCCCTGCCTCGCTGACACAGGGCTGCGCCACAGCCATCCCGAGCCAGGCGCTCCGCCCACGACAGTGCCCCTGCAGGCTGTCGTCCTTTCCTCCTGCTCCAGGCACACGGGTGACTTGACCCAGGTCTTGGAGCCATTTGCCCCTTCTCCCCAGCGGGTGGGCAGGAGGTGCGGAGTGATTCACTCTGTGTGGCCTCAGGAACAATCGGAATCCTCCGTCATTTCCCCCATGGGGTCCGTGAAGGAAGGGAAGCCAGGGGCTGCGTGTCACCAGTCCCTACAGCCCTGGCTCCCTTCTCCTCCTAGAAACAAAGCCTGATTCCAAGGAAGCACCCCACCCAGCCGTGTCTGGACCCAAGATCTGCCAGCAGACCCACACAGCCTGCTGCAGAATCCGTCTACACGGTGAGTCCCAGGGCCTGGGCTCCCCCACCTCTCCGGGCCCAAGTCAGGGTCTGACTCCCCGGCTCAGTCTGTACTCACTGTGGGACCTGTCTAAGCCTCAGCTTCCTCATCTGTAAGGTGGGTACAATGACTCCTACCTTGTGGAATTTCCATAACGGTGAAAGGATAGCCCACACATGGGAACCCTGGTATTAGGTGCACCCTCGTGGGGAGCCCTCCTGCTCCCCACTCTGGCACATCCTTTCCCTTCTGGAACAAGGGGGTAGCAAGGGCACGGGTCAGGAAGGAATGAAGAAATTTCCTCATCTGACCAAATGGTGTCGACCAGCTCACCAGCTTCTTCCTGTTTTAAATGCACAAAAAACATTGCAGCTGCTGCAACAACGATCATCGGAAGAAAGAAAGGGGGCGTCGCCCCACCTGGCGACTGGGCCACGATTCTCACTGGCTGGGACTCTTTCCCGCCACGCGCAGACAGTCACAGCGGGGCCGCGGCTGGGACCCCGTGTATCCCACGCGCCTTCGAGCCGCAAGCACAGTCTTTATAATTAGACGGGGAGGGGACGGAGGCTCTGCCGCCCTGCCCGCCCGCACCGGCACACAGCCTGCCTGCTCCGCGCTGTGCCCGAGGCTGGGGAAGGTCCCTGTCCAGTGCTATGGCTGTAGTACTGCGAGTAATGTGCTTGCCGTGGAGAAAGTGAGGAGTTGGCGAGATCTCAGTCCCGGGAGGTACAGAGCCGCCGGGCTGGCTCCCACGCTCCCCAGGGCCCGCAGGCTTCCCGGTGCCCTGCCCTGTGCCTGCCACCCTGGGGCACACACGAACCGCGGGCCTTCCTCCCGCACCACGTAACCCGCAGGAGCAGGTCTGGAGTCTGGCCGCCTCATGTGCTGAGGAAGGGCTTGTGGCGGTGTGGCCCAGGGACAATCTGCATGGGGCAGTGTCCAGGGCCGCAAGGAGAGCGGGACAGCTCGCAATGGGCCCTCCCCTCCCCTCCCCGGGGAGTTTCCACAGCTGCTGCTTCCTGTAGGCTGTACTTGCCCTGAGCCGCTCTTCTCTCCCGGCCACTCAGGCTATTCTCCCTTTGAGGGATTCTGGTATCAGCTGTTAGATTGAAATCTCAGGCTCTCCCCCCTCCCTCCCCCCCTCTCCTCTCCCTCTCTCCCCGCCCCCATATACACACACACGCGTGTGTTCTGTATGAAGATAACCCACATCATCATATTCTCACCTTCTTCCAGGATAAATACTAGAAACGCTGACTTCTATACCTTCCCATTTTTTCTTTATAAATACATGGAAGTGTGTGGTGTGTGCACCCCGTATTTATTTATTTTGGATGGGACCCGGGGCCTTGAATGTGCTAGGCGTGCACACCACTGCTGAGCTGCACCCGGCCCCCCTACTTTTTAAAATTATAGTCACACGGCTACTTTTCTGTGTTCCACATCCCATGAACATTTTCCCACCTGAATAAGTGGCCTAGTACGAGACTTTCTGAATGGAAGAGACTCCCCTTTGCCTGAGTCACTTCCTCGCCGTGGGTAGGGCCTCTGGGGCTGAGGCTGACTTCTCCAGAGTGTCGCAAGGAAGTCCCGCTGCGTGCGGGGATGCAGGTGGCTCAGGGAGGTCTTAGCGCAAGAGGGAGGTGCAGTGGGAGGCCACAGGACTTTGCTAACCGTTGAGCCAAGGTCCATAGGCTGAGGCTGTCTCCAGGCAGAGACAGTCGCCATTAGCGACCATGATGATAGTAGCAGGGGCTGCCGGTGGAGCCCCGCGGCTCTGTGGACGGATGTCACATCCCTGGCTCACTGGTATTCTTGGTAAGGCGTCAGCACGCAGGTGTTGTCCCTGCGTCCGTGCTGTTTTCTGCTCATTGATTGCTGGCATGTAGAGTGTGGTTGATTTTTATGTGCTGGCCTTATGTAGTCGTGATCTTGCCGAATCCACTCGTTGATTATGAGAGTTTCTCTGTAAATAACTTGGAGTTTTCCATGAGCCTCACCGTGTCACTTATGAAGGATGGAAGTTTCACTTTTTCCTTTCCGCAACCCTCCTACCTTCTTTTTTTTTTTTATGCCCTCCGTCCCTTCCTTCCTTTTCCGGGTCATTGCACTGGCTAAGACCTCCCGTGAGAGTGAGCAGGACAAATAGAAGCCATGGTGGGGGCAGCCTTGTGTTGCTCAGAGACCCAGGGAAGGGTGTGTGTGTGTGTGTGTGTCCTTTCACTTTCTTGGTATAGATATTTATAAAGTTTTCTATCTTTTTTTCCCCTCATTCTTCTTTTCTAGTACTGGGTATTGCATTCATGTCAGTACTGGGTATTGAGGCCAGGGTCTTCCCACTGAGCTCCACCTCAAGCCCTTTTTTATTTTCCTTTTTTTTTTTTTTTTTCTGGTACTGGGAATCGAACTCACAACCTTGCACTTGCCAGGCAGGCCTGTGCCGCTGAGCTAAATCCCCAGCACCCCCTTTTTTATTCTGAAGCAGGGTTTTCCTGAGTGGCTGAAGCTGAGCTTGATCTTGTAATCCTCTTGCCTCAGCCTCCCACAGTGCTAGCATTATACACACGTGTCTCCATGCCCAGCTGTTGTTTTTGAGACAGGGTCTCATATAGCCCAGGCTGGCCTCAAATTTTTGATTCTCCTGCCTTAGCCTCCTGAATGCTAGTATTATAAGCATCTACCATTAGTCCTGGCTTGCATTTAGACTATGAATTTATCTTTAGGTATGGCTTTAGTTACATTCCATGAGGGGTGTGTGTGTGTGTGTGTGTGTGTGTGTGTGTTTATAGTGTTAGGGATCAAACCCAGGGCTTCACGTGCTAGGCAAGTGCTCTACCCCTGAGCTATACCTTCAGCCCTCTATGATTTTGATATGTTATATTTTCATTATCTTTTAGTCTAAATTTCCATGGAGGATTCTTTCTTGTCCCATTGGTTATTTAAAATGTTTTGCTTAATTTTTGAAGTTTTAATTGTTTTCTAGTTATCATCTTTTTTTTATTTCTGGTTACTTCTGTCATGAAAAAAAAATATATATATATATAATCTCCAGATTTTAATACTTTTAAGTAGTTTGAGATTTGCTTTGTGGCTCAGTTTTTATTCTTGTGCACTTGAAACAAACTTGTATTGTGTGTTCCATACGTCAGTAGCTCAAGTATATTGATCACAGTGGGGTGTGGTGGCACATATCTGTAATTCTAATGTTCTGGGAGGCAGAGGCAGGAGGATCACAAGTTCAAGCCCATGTTGGGCAACTCTATGAAACCTTGTCTCAGAGTAAAAATAAATAAAACAAAAAGACTGGTAGGCAGCTCAGTGGAAATGCCATAGGTTTAATCTCCAGTATTGCACACAAAAAAAGTTGCTTACATTTTAAAAATAGTCCATATCCTTATTGATCATGATTGTTTCTTGTCTGTTTTATCAGTTGTTAAGAGAAGTGAGTTACCTGCCTGTATGATTGCAGGTTTGTGTATGTCTCCTTTTATTTTTTATTTATTTATTTATTTTTGTCTTTTTGAGGCAGGGTCTCACTATACAGTTCAGGCTGGCCTTGAGCTCACTTTGCAGCCCAGGCTGGTCTCGAACTCACAACGATCCTCCTGCCTCAGCCTCCCAGA